CCGACGTAGAAATTCCACTCAGGGCATTCGCTGTTGGTACAATAGGCATCACGAGGTTGTCCTATCGCTCACGCCTCTCACCAGCTTAATCTCATCTTCGCCAAGGTTTTCCGAGCCGTCTTCCCCCCCGCCGGTCGTGGCCGCGGCCTTATTCTCTGCTCCAGTCTTCTCGGAAACCACGGCGGTGAATTTGGAGATGATCGCAGTGTCACTGATTCCCTCGAACATGATGTTCCACGGAGCTTCCCCCGTATCTCCTTGTCGGCCTCCAGCCACTGCTGCGGCACCGTTTCCTTGCGACCTCTAACCTGCCAGCATTGACACTTGAGCCCTGCGTCAAACATGACAAAGCGCCGGAAAAAAAAACAGGACGCGGAGACATGCGCAAAGATTTGAGACGCTCTTGGTTATTTTTTCACAGCTGCGCATGATGGCCGAACAACACTGCTGCATGCTAATAAGATAGCAGATGGCAGCAACCGGGGGGGTGTAACGAAACCCATGGTGCGTGGCAGATGATGTGGATGTGCAATATGTGTGTCTCACTCAACAGGAGGGCGCGCGCGATTTTTGATTTTTGAAATGCGGATCAAACCAGTCACCTATCCGTCTTATTAATACATGCCTGGTACCACGTACGTACGTTGGTAAGCTATCCATCAAGGGACAATCAAAGGACGTGCTACAACTGATTGGCTGCGTCCCGCATGTGGGAGTATGGCGGTGTTGGCTAAGTTGATGGGATGCGGCGGCCGGGCGTGTCTTCTTCTTGTTCTCGTGCGATTGTGTACACATGGACAAAGTTGAGTTGCGAGTTGCACGCGCGATCGTAGCAGCAGCAGCAGCAGCAGCAGCAGCAGCAGCAGCAGCAGCAGCAATCTCGAGGGAGGCGAAGCGAACCAGATGGCGGCCGTACAACTGCAAATTCGAATCATGCCGGAGCTGGATCCTATCGCATCATGCCAGAGCTATATCCTATCTGCGAATCAAGGCAACAGCAGCAGGACATACGGCGGTCTAGACCCAACATGGACCATGTGTAGAAAGAGAGCCGTGCTCTCGCATCTACACAGCAGTAGAGACTTACCCTTCTCAGCAACGCGGATCATGCATGGAAGCGTCCACTTGCCCTTCCTTGGTGGCTTAGCCTGCACATTGCCACGCGGTGTCGACAGGATCTGTACTCCATCCTCCTCAAGACCACCAGCAGGAGGAGGTGGGTTGCCAGAGCCGCCACTGCTGTCTCTCGACTCTTCTCCGCCGAACTCCTCCAGTTCCCTAGCCTTCCGCTGCCCTGCTGCCAGAAAATAAGTCTCCTGGTCGTCGCTAACCCTATCACGAACTTTGAAAGAGGGGGCTACGGTCCTCGAGCTTTGGCGGACTGCGTTGGTCGACATCCTTCCCGTCGCTACTCGCCCTGGTGTGGTCTGGTGCGGTCTGTCTGTGCGGTGCTGCTGTGCTACTACTGCTGTCCTGCTTGGTTCCCTTTCATAAAAAATGAACTTTGAACAGGAACGGGAATGTTCAGCTTTCACAGACGCCAGCTGGCCTTAGTGCTAAAAAAATCTTCCTGGGGTCGAAGGTTCATTTTTAGGGCGGCCATAAACTGGCTCTTTTCCCGAAGAAGTGAAAGTGAACTTTTCAAAACGCATTTCCGAAACTCGCCATTATGGCGACAGTCCCCCTATTTTTCGTGGTGTGACATGTACTACACTTTTCAGCGCGTAAAGTACTACACTTCTCAGAGTGTGTTTTGTCGTTCAACTACATACAACCATCCAGGGTTACACACGGGAGGTTATTGTTGTTGTCTTCACCGTTCCGTTCTCTCTACCCAGTACCACCTTCTGCTGTCCGTATTTAAATAGTGTAGCTCTTGACGATTCCCGTCCCGTGGTCACAGGCCAACTTCCCCAAAAAGGTAGACTATTCGAAAAAAAAATGGAACCGAAGTCCGCAAGTCAATAGACAGAACCAACGTCAGAAAGTCTAGGACGCTCCGCTCGCCTCTGCACGAGCTGACCATAGACTGGTATTTGCTCGACTCATCATGATAAACCTCACTGAACCTGGTTGGCATCTGTAGAAGTACAAGTACGTCTCGGATCAATAGGCAAGCAAGGAAGACATTCGGATGTGGCACACTGTGCCGCATTACAGAAGTAGTCTAGTAGCAATCCGTGCGTCGTTGGTGCAGAGAATATCACCTGTTGGCATTCTTCAGTAGCATCGCCGACCTTCCCTCTACCTCCCGAGCTGCTTGTTGAAGACATGATGCAAAGCAGCAGATGCTGTACTCGATCTATGCACTTCCTGGAGCCAGACTGCCAGACTTTTCTTCCTGGTGGACGCCGATACCTGCCACGAGACGCACCCCACCAGGCGTGATGGGCTGAAGTGCCTTGATCGCCCACAAACCTCGCTCGGCCTCTCTCTACAATAATCACGCACGAACAACTCCGCAAAAGCGCTGCCGCCGTGTTATCGCACACTGCTCAAGTGTGGGCTTGTGCGGGAGTGTTCTTAGGATCTCTCCCGGATGAATTAATTCTGGTGATGCGGGAGAACTGCAATTACTTCGAGGGAGACACTGCTGTATAACGTGTGCTGCTCGGGAAATCGTGGGAATACCGGATAGATTGCAAACAATATATGGACAGCTCTCTGCGTCTGTAGCCAGCGCATGGCCTTCACATTTTACTTCCGAAACATCTCACCCCAATCATGAAATTACTCGCAGAACTGCCGTCGTTGACCGTTGTCGGCCGTCCTTTTACTCGAAAATAGACTACGGTCGTGTGATTTTTTTTTCCCCGTTTTCTTTGCAGTTGTTGTGTGACGTGTGACTGGGTCGAGTCTTCGAGGGTATGAGTACCGCGCCCGTCGTGTACGACGTCATCCCATGATTCCAGGGCCGCCCTCACAGCATTACGCGCCGGAGAGAACGGAAGTCCAGCAGGAAATGCATGGAAGGAGGTCCGTCAGCAGGAGTTGTCAGTACATACAGCGGCCAGTGTACAGCGAAGCCCTTCGCAGCACGATACGGCATAGCCGCGAAAGCGTCGTCATTGTTCTGCATATCCCATCACCAGGCAGCACACTTCAATATCGACGCCATATCAACTGTGGTCCAAGAACGCGCGGAGACTGACACACGTTCAAGGCGTGTTGGACAACCGTGACATCACAGACTACAGCAGCAAACGTGGCCGAGCGGCAGTGTCAAAGCTAAATCGGTCAAGGTGTATTCCCGATATTTCAAAGGCTAACCACCCCTGCCGGGGATTGGGCTTCCAAACGTACGGATGGAGTCGCTTTCCCGGCGCAACACACAACGCAGAGTTCAGGATGCACGGATGCCCCACTTAGCCCCTCGTCGGGACAAGGCACGGCCGGTGCTGCATGTTTTGAGAGCGCGAGGCTCTACAACAGCAGCGAATGCCACCATGCATCGAAGGCACCGCGGACGGAATGATGCCGCCCGGGGGTGGCACGGTGGGATATTCACATGAACTCGTCGCGGAAAGCTCCTCCTCACCCGTCCGTGCCGGTTCGTGCCAGATTGTCCTGACGGGCACGAAAGGCGTCGCGGGAAGGACGATGGGGTGTGAGTGAGAATAACGGAACAGAAGTTGTTGTCTTCACTTCAAATCAGCGCTCGCGGCACTTGTGCCCTTTTGCTCCAACTCGTCTCTCAGAATGCACAGAAGTAATACCGCGGCTCTTGGGTACCGGGACAGGCGCCCCTTACCTGCGCTGCCCTGTTGCTCGATCCACCCACCTCTCCCGCGGCGGCTGAGTCCTGCTCAAACACACCGCACACCAAGCGCGGAAAATCAAAGACGCCACCAAGCGGCGGGGGTCACGACATATCAAGACAAACACAAAGGAGACAAGGTCTGTGATGGACCAACCCGGCGATGTTCCCGACCTTGATAAAAAAATTTCACACTCATGTGACCAGTTACGCGCTAACCGTGCTTGTGGTGGAGAAAGTACAGGACAGATGTCAGCGAGGAGAGGCGGGAGGGGTCTAGGCCGAAAGGACGAAGAAACTAGCCCCTCGGTCGCTCTTTCGCGCCCAGGCTTCCTGCTCAGTTTCAGAACTTCACTCCCGCATCTCCGTTCGCTTGACCTCCCTCGCGGTTGTTTCTCCCCTTCCACGCGTTTTTCCTCTCGACGCGTCATTCCTACGCTTCCCCTTCATGAACATCATTCCTTCCCGGTCTTGCGCTAAAGTATTCCTCGATTCGCCCAGCGCTCGCTCTCACCCTCGGCTCGTCGAAGCCGAGCTCCTCCCTGATGTCGGCCATCATGAACACCGTACCGCATACCACCACTACGTCCCTCTCCAACTCTTCTCCATCTCCAGACACCGACGCCTCCGCGATGGCATCTCTGCAGCAAACCCCCCCCCCCAGCCGCCGACCGCACGTGGGTAGTTTTTTCACGGTACGGACTCGCAGTTAGTGGTGACGGAAAAAGGGACAGGTTTTCGGGCTAGAGCCATCCTGCTGCCGACACCTCGTTGGAAGCGGACAAATGGTGGTCAGGGCAGCAGGGGGGCGCGTGAACGATGGCGCGGCTAGGTTTGCCACTTCGTCGCTTCCGCGTTCGATATGGTGTTGATGATAGCATTGGCATTACCGCAACGGGAAGGGGGTCGGGGAAGCACGTTGGTGCCGAGTTTTGCGCCGCGGAGGCCGGCCTCGCTCAAACCAAACCCCTTCCGTTGCAAAAAAGTGCATCACGATACTTTGGGCAAAGTTCTCGCCGTCAGATGCTTGCTCGCTGACTGTGTGCGGTTGGAGTTGTGGAACGAAGCAGTCTGGGGTAGCCAGGAAAGAGGAGCGATCCGAAACAGCATGACAGAGTCAAAGCCCAGAACGATGGTTGGAAACAGACATCTAGGGCAAGACGTGGTAGCTGCCGCGGCTTCGAAATGCTCGAAAGTGGATGAAACACCAGCCGTGTCTAAGCGAGGTAGCTCTGCACACGCGTTTGAGCGAGGTACTCGGCACGGCCACGACCACCACCACAGCCACCACCACCCTTGACGATATCATCAACATCGAGGGTTCGCCAACAGTCTGTACCTCGAGTGGCACACAACAAGAAAACCAGCTGTAGCAGCAACAACAACACACAGCAACACTTCGCTCACTTCCTCCGATACCTCAAAGCTAATAACAGCACCGCAACAGCAAACACACAGCATCACTTGTCTTCTTACCGTAAAGCTTGCCGCACGCTCTCGTCCCCCCTCCTCACCCTGCTCGACGACGAGTCGAATTTCCCTCCCGACAGCTCGGAAAGGCGCGAGGCTAAGACGTCCACCGACGTTGCTCGACGAGTCGCAGCCTATCGCGACGGGAGTGAGTGGCGGGGCAAGCGGGGAAACCACAAGGCGTCACTTGACTCGAAGTCTGGGTTGCAGCGGGGAAGCGAATAGTTCGCTTCTTCCGCATGTTGCTGCGTTCTATCCAGAGTGGGCGCAAGCCTCAAAAACTGGCTGTATGGAAATACGCGCCCTTGGAACGGGGCGGAGGAAAAATACGCCGTCTCCTCGAATCGGCTCGTCCAATATCGGCCTCGAAAATTTCGTGGAATGGGTGACGAAACGACACATCTCACGCCCAAACCTTAAGTGTCACAACATCGAAACGGTGTTGTTGGCAGCATACTGCAAGGCACACGCCTCTAGGCAATATGTGTCCCTTTGACACACTCCATTCGAGCCTTCTGGTGTGTACGCCCTCGGTAGCATCCTGAACCTGTGAAAGCAAGCCAAGTACCTCACAAAACGAGGTCTGCCTTCTTCCACGCGTGGTAGATATATTTCGGAAACAACACCCTACGGCATAACTGCTCTATACAGGACGCCTACTCTTTGTGCCATCCTTTTTTCGGATTCCGGCACCGGAAAAAGAACTATGAATACATGTCTACTGAACGATGATACATTCCATAGCATGGCACAAGCCTACCCCATTCGCTCGATATTAATTCAGCGCAATGCATACAACACAACGAGACTCGCCTCGGCAAGATGTATCCTTTCGGGGGCAGACCTTGTCAAGACTGTCGAGAGGCAATCCTCCGAGTCCTTGTCGCCCGAAAATGCCGCCACAACGCGAATACGCCTCCCCGGGAATTCTTTGGCCACCTGTTAAAAACAAGAAGACGCCGAAAATAAATATCCCGGCCACAAGACAAGGATGCCTAATTTTTGTGCCTTGCATTCTCATGCGAACGACGGCGTGGGGAAAAAAAGGGGGTACTCATATGTATCCAATCCAAGTACGAGGCGCGAGAGATCGGGGGAACGCGGGAGTGATGTACCAGGGCGATGAACACCCCCATCAGCAGCCAAAGTCAATGGGATTGGTGGTGTAATCGTGAAATCGTCGAAGACTTTAAGCGTCACACGAGGGACAAATTCGCACAAGAAGCAAAAAGACGACGACCAAGCAAAGCGGATATCATAAAAAAAGTGGGCGGGTGGAAACAGAAACAACAAGCAATGAAGGTGAAAGAAAAAACAAGCCCTTATCGTATAGAGACGACGACAATGTGGTCAGCTCGAAGCGGCGGCTTTTTCTTTTCCCTCGGTTTCGCGAATGAGGGAGAAAAATTAGATGAAACAAGCGGTTTAGTCGGTCCTCTCGATACGACAAGTGGGCTTGTTGTTTCCCTCGGTTTCGCGAGTGAGGAAGAAAAATCAGAGGATACCAATACTTTGTGATAAGTGTATCCACTTTATCCACCACCTTCTGGAAACACCGAACGATCGCCGGAGGGTTGTGTGCAACGTCCAGCACCACCGTGACAACGCCTCCGCCTCCGCTTCCCGCTCCGCCGGCACCGGCTTCTCCCCCGCTATGCGAAGATTCGACACGTTTCCCGGTGGCCGCCACCGCCGCCGCCGCCGCCGCCGCCGCCGCGGAGGCGTCTACCTGGAGCACCTCGAAGCGGCACGGTGGTCGCTGCGTCACGCCCCGGCGCAGGGCGTCCTTGGAAACAAAGGTGCGGAGGATTTTTTCCGGCGGTGGTGCAAAGAAACAGGTTATTGAAATGCGTGTGGTTTCATGTATGTGTGCTGCCAGGGGCAGCGACGGAATGAACATGGTGGGGGCGGTCAAATGGATGGAAACGGGCAGGCCTGGCGGGGGTTCGTTTGTGCGGGCGGCAAAAGGACGTATGATCCTTGAAGAATACCCCATTGCAGCAGCGTAGAATGCTTTGAAGTTTGCGAGCTGGGGGGGGCTGCAAAGGTCTAAAGACAGCAAGAGATCGGTCGTCCGAAAAAGTCTGTCGTCTCGTCGTGCTTTCGCTCACGATCTAGAGAAGAACGCAGCAGCCCCCATGTGCGTTCATTGTTCACTCACGTGAACAATCAAGTGCAAAATGTTCCACAGAAAGTCTTGCGTCTGCGCGTCCTCGATGCACCAAAAAATATCGGAAAACATTCAAACAACGAAGCAAGCAACAAAAACGTCCGTTTTGCATTCATTGACCTCTCCAGCGCCTATGGCACACACCAAACGAGTTGTTGTTCTCCTACCACCTAACACTTGAGGTCTCTGTCTCAAAAAACAATGTACTTTTACATCCGCCGTATATTTCGGATAGCATTGTGTTGTGTTCATGGTGGGAGCGACAGAGAGAACGGTCTCAAGCCTGCTCCATGCCCATGGGTTGGACATACTTCCTACTTGCGTCGGATCGCATAAAGTAATATTCTACAATGCCCCCATTCTCTCTCTATTCTCAACTCCTTTTTTTATCCCAATTTCCCCCCTCTCTCAAAAGATGATCAACCGTCTCGAAATGTGACCAAATATCTCTCATTTCCGATGCACAACACATACCTCGTTAACGCAAAACTCCGGGTGGGAACGGCCCAGCAGTATCAGGCCCGCCTCGGCCAGGCGGGTGTTCTCCTCGTCGTAATCTTGGTCGTCTCCGGCGTTAGTTCCTTCGGGTAAGGCGTCTGTACAGCGGTGGAATGGGCACCCTCTGCTCTCGGCCACGCCCTATACGGCAGTTTGTTCATGTTTTGCGGAAGCATACGAGTGACGCGAGGGGGGGGCGGGGGGGGGCGCGT